TTCTTGCACAAAATACACCTAAAAGTGTAGAAAAAAATTGACAGCCAAAAAAGAGTAGAGGAAGACACCTATTACCTACCACCTAAATGTCATTAAACCCATAAATCCAAAATTATAAAAAAATTCCTAAAATAATTTAATTTTTCTCAGGCAGACGTTTTTAATGCATTTTCTTGCACAAAATACACCTAAAAGTGTAGAAAAAAATTGACAGCCCGAGCCGAGTAGAGGAAGACCCTTAATACGTTGACAAAATAAGTTATATATCATTCCGAACATTTTTTAATTCAAATCCAATCAAAAAGATCGTGACAGTTCTGAGTATTTTTTGAAATTGATTTTTTTAGTTTTATGAAAAATTAATTTTTAAAAGCATTCAAAGTTGAAACAATTCATCCATTGTAAAATTTTAACTTTAAATGATTTGAATTAAAAATGTTTGAAATAGTATAACATTAATTTGTCAAACATAAATTCTTTCATGTTTTTTCTTTTATTGAACTTTTAAACAGTTGTACAATTTTTCTCTATTATTTATTACTTTTTAGGACGCCATAATAAAAGCATTCTATTTTTAAAAAAATTTATTTTTTTACATTATATTTTTATTTAAAAATTATATCAAAAGTATAAAGTAATTTTTTTTTCAAATTGAATAATTTTTCTTTCAGGAAGATTATCGAGGTATGAAAAAAGTTATTGTATCTTATTTGTGATAGAAGCTGTATATTTTTGTCAAAAACTGTTAAGATATTTTGCCATTCTGTCGAATTGTTTATGACTTACATGGGAACTGGAATAATGTGAATAGTAATTTCTTTAAAACAAATTCACTTGTACATTTTTTAAATTAAACATTTTAATCAATATTATGAACTATTAATGCATCATTTAAGTCTTTATATTTTTTTTGATAACGATGGCAGTAGTAAAGACCATCATCACGCTTTTCAATACATTTCTCTGCAATTCGAAAGAAATAGAATTATACTTCTATATTTAGTAATCTACTATTAATTATGTTATTACATTGGTTTTAATAAAATCCTTAGTTACCTTGTGCATCCTCATAGGTTTTATAATGCATTTGGTCTATTAAAGCACATACAAAAAACGATGGATTTTTTCCACTATGCATTTCTCTAAAAAAATTTATTTTGTATTTTATAAATGGACATTTGATTTTTAAATATTTCTGTACATGTTAATGTTTACAATATTAACAAACTTAACCCAATAATGCTCATAGCCACAGATAAGCAGATATCGGAAAAAGAACTATATTATATTTTTAAGTTTTAAAGATAAAAAGTCATTTTTTTCAATTGACGTACTGATCGATTATTTTCAAATTTTTTTCAATAAAACTACTTTCGTGGGCAAACAATTTTTTAATATTTTCGGAATTTTTTAAAAATATTTTTGGTTTTTTTATACTACTTAATTTTATGTATTGTGATGCGCTGATTACGAAAATCATTGTGAATCATAGTGACAATACCCAAAAATTTAACTGTAGCTTGCACTTGCTCGATATTTTTATTTTTCATAAATATATCATTAGTAAAAAACCAAATCAGACTTTACCTTCAATATCTTCCCTTTTTTTTGAACCAACAGCAAAATCATATTTATAACAGTGGGACCGACCATCATCCCCCCTTTTTAATACATATCTCTGCAATTTGAAAGAAATAAAATTATACTTTTATGTTAGTAATCTACTATTATAACTATTGTATAATATTAGTTTAATAAGATCCTTAGTTACCTTGTGCTTCTTCTAAATTGTAAAATCTTCTAAATCCACCTTTACATTTATAATATTTAATTTCCTTTGAAAACAATGATTTTTTTACTAGTTATGCATTTATCTAAAAAAATTAACCTTTTGTTTTATAAATGAATATTTAATTTTTAAATAATTTTATATATTTCAATGATTACAATATGAACATACTTAATTACCATATAATAAGGGATTTCATATTTGAAGTGATCAAGATGAAAAAAATGATTATTTTATTATTTTTGGAAAAAACTAAAAATTTTGAAAATCCATGCAAGAGATTATTAAGAATCATTAAAAAAAGCGTGGAAAAAAATTGGCGATGAAAAAAAGTCAAAATTGTCAAATTGTCATAATCTTACCTATTGAACCCAAAATAGTATCAGTATCTCTACCAGCAGAAACCAATTCATAATTATTAATAATAACACACAAAATGAAACAAATTGCAAAAATTGTTAGTTTCATGTTGAATATTCAAATCTACTTTTGTATTTATAATTTTACAAAGTATAAAACAAAACTAGAAACGAGTCGTTTGAGAAATTTATTTTCACAGTTGCGACGAATTTTGTCGAGTAAATCTATAGTTGAATTGCACTGTTATTTGAGACATTTCATATGAGAAGACGGGGTCATGTCTCGGATTTTTCTCAAAATTCGGTAAATTGTAGTGATAGTGGTGCTAAATGAGTGTACAATTTTTGAATTTGAAATTTTTAATATTTTTCGAGATATTTACAATAACAAATTTGAGCAATATTTTTTTGCTTTACTTATAACTTTTTTCCTATTAAAAATAGAAAAAAATGTTGTAAATGTTTTTTACGCGGAAGATCTTTAACTTTTAGAAAAAAGTTATTTTTTTAAAAAAATATTAATTTTTAAACAATTTGTTTAAAAAATAAAATTTGTTTATAACTTTTAACCATGTTCTCCCTCATTTAGAAGCGCGAAAAAAATCATGAATATTGTTTAAGTCATAATAAATTGATGGTTAAATTTTTGAGATGGCATTATTTTTTGTTTTCGAGATATTAATTAATTAACTAACAAAAGTTAATAAAAAATGAAATATTTTACGAACAAATAAAATTACAGTAATTTAAAAAACACCATTATAATGCTTATCAAAATCCGCATCCAACGAGCCCTATATGAACTATTTCTAATAAACGGGTGTTAAATTAATAATAATTAATAAAATTTATTTAAATAATTAATAACATTTAAGGAAATGAAGATAAACCGTCAATTCTTTTTTTATTTGGAAGATCATCTAATTCTGTGTTAAATAAAACCAGTATAAATAACATTTTTAACAAATCTAAATTATTAACAGATGATTTTTGAAAATTGAGGTTTTAGCACCCTACGACACAAGTTGGAGGGGGCTAACTACCTACTCGGCATGGTATTTTTCAGTCTTTTTCTAAATAACATTTTATAATTAATTTTTGATTCTTGGTAATACTTAATATTCTTTTTTTGACACAGAATTAGATGATCTTCCAAATAAAAAAAGAATTAACGATTTATCTTTATTTCTTCAAATGTTATTAATTATTTAAATAAATTTTATTAATTATTATTAATTTAACACCCGTTTATTAGAAATAGTTCATATAGGGCTCGTTGGATGCGGATTTTGATAAGCATTATAATGGTGTTTTTTAAATTACTCTAATTTTATTTGTTCGTAAAATATTTCATTTTTTATTAACTTTTGTTAGTTAATTAATTAATATCTCGAAAGCAAAAAATAATGCCATCTCAAAAATTTAACCATCAATTTATTATGACTTAAACAATATTCATGATTTTTTTCGCGCTTCTAAATGAGGGAGAACATGGTTAAAAGTTATAAACAAATTTTATTTTTTAAACAAATTGTTTAAAAATTAATATTTTTTTAAAAAAATAATTTTTTTCTAAAAGTTTAAGATCTTCCGCGTAAAAAACATTCACAACATTTTTCTCTATTTGTAATAGGAAAAAAGTTATAAGTAAAGCAAAAAAATATTGCTCAAATTTGTTATTGTAAATATCTCGAAAAAAATTTAAAATTCCAAATTCAAAATTTGTACACTCATTTAGCACCACTATCACTACAATTTACCGAATTTTGAGAAAAATCCGAGACATGACCCCGTCTTCTCATATGAAATGTCTCATTTATACTAGACACATTTTTATAGTTTTTTGTGATAATTTATATGTATTTTTTTATCGACAAAAAGAACGGCATTAAAAATGTTACTTTTCATTGCAAAAATAATCTCGAATGATTTCCATTATACGTATAGCACAGTACAATTTTTACATTCTCATGAGAATGAAAATTGACTTTTTCTATTTCCATGAAATCTTTACGTTTTGAGGTGCCCTGAGTAGATATAGATATAACATGTTGTTGACACAATAACTTTTGTAAATCGAAACGAATCGATTTGTAATTTTGCACACACAAAGTCACAAACAAATACACTTGCATGTACCTGTACATGTTCATGTACTTCGTACCAATTCTTTTTACAGGTTCGTTTTCTGCTCTTGTACGAGATCACGCGAATGTGCAAGTACTTGAACTTGAACAAGAAAATGTACATGATCTTGTACAAGATTTTTCAACTGGGAATAGTATATAACCCTTACTTTTATGTATAACAAGTTTGAAGTAAATAAAATAAATTGTTTTATTAAAAAAAACTATTTGAAAAAAATAATGGAGATGTGATACTAACCCCTTAAATGTATTCGTTCGCTCAAATGTTTCTTATATTTGAGAAATCCAAATACTCAAAAACACTTCTAATTCCGCATCATACATTCGAGCGTGAAACGCGAGTGCCATGATAAGAATGTTGTCCTTAAAAGTCGAAGAACTTTAAGAAAATTAATCCTATATAATAATAATATAATTATTATAGGTATATAATTTTTATGTTAAAATATTATAATATTTTTCATTTGAAAATATTAAAAAAACTTCTTCCTTTTTTCATATGAAAATTATCTTTTGCCCATAAAAATTTGAAAGATGCTTAAGGTATCACATCGGCACTAGTCGGAGTCAAAAGTTTGTAGCTCGCATTACTACTTCCCGCACTATACTTTCGCCCTCAACTCCCTATACTCTCACCCCATACTGTACCTACTTCTACAAATACACTCGTACACGTATACCCCACACTAGCAGCGATTGGAAGGAGTAGGAGGTTTGACAACGTCGCTATAAGTCTCGCTTTGACTACTGTGGACTACTGTCTCTCTCTAACTAATGTTACCATCCTGCGATGTTGCCACATCAAAGTGGCGGGTGTGCTATATATTGCAAATGACGTCATGAAATAGAATTTTTAATTTATAATTACAAATAAACGGCACGGTAAATTATAAATTTTTTTGTATATTTTAGTTCCAAATTTATTCGTGAATTCAACATTAGTTTTTGAAAAAAATTTATAGAAAACTTCTGATGATATTTATGAAAATGTACTTCTCCCCCATACATTAGTCCCGTCTCCCATGCAAAATAAGCAACTTTGATTGCTAATATCTCTGGTTTCGTACGGCGAAAATTCTTCATATTTTGCAAATTTGTCAAGAATGATAATAAGAACATATGGTAAAATTTTTAAGAAAATCTATAGAAAACGGTTTTACCGATGTGATACCTTAAATCTGAATTAATTTTTTATTTAATTACATATATTATAATTTTTAAAATTTCCAGACTTAAATTCCGAAAATCCTTGACAATTATCAACATATATGTGCAGTTGTAATAAAATTTTTAAATATTAAAAAAATAAAAGATTACAGTTTGCTTTTTCATGTTCAAAGTTTATGTCTATCGATAGTTTTCAAAACATAATTGCTTTAAAATTTAAATAAAAATAAATATATATTTTAAAAGAGAATGTTTTTAAAATAAAATTTCTACTTAACTTCTATATGCGTAAATTTATTAATTGCGACGAAAGTTATTACTTAAAAATATAATATTTTAACTAAAAGGAACAATTTTCGTTTAATTATTAAACAATAAATAATAATTTAAAAATATTTATATATAAAAAATTTATCAGTTTTACTGAATTAGCTTGACAGTTATCAACAAACATGAAGTAGTAAATAATACAATTTTTGATACTAAAAATAAAAGTAATATCTTTTATTTTTAGTATCTCTCTTTTATCACATATGCCTTTTTTTAGATACCTATATTTATCCATTTTTGTCGATTGTTTTCAAAGTTATATTTAACTACTTTAAAATTAAAGAAAATATGAATATTTTTCTAAAATTAATATTTATTAAAAAAATAATTCTTCTCTGATCACGCTTTAACTCAGGTCATTTGTAATACTCATAGATTTTAATTTTTGGTAAAAATATTTCTTTATTTAGTCCAATATTTTCCGAGTGGGAGGGGGTGATAGTTTTAGGGGTTTACGGTACATCGTATATTTTAACAATTTTATTTTTCTTAAATATCAAAATAAAACAAGTGCGAGTTGCACTCGCACTAATTCGAGGGTTCCGTACACCAACAATAAAAACCTCATTTTTATATAGAAATAAATTATAAATAACGTTAAGGGGGGCATCAAATCCAATCAGTCTCGCTATATTTTTCCAGTAATCTACACGTGAAAATACGTATGTGTACTAAATTGCAATTTTTCATATACAAATATGTAAATGTAAATGTCTTTTCATAAGGGTTCCGTCGGTACACTGAAGGTTTTCGGCACCCTAAAATTATATTATTATTAGCTTTGAAAGCTTTTTTGATGCTCTTTTAATTGGCAATATGCATTTTTGAAAAAAATGCATATTGCCAATCGAAGAAACATTAAAAAAAGTTTTTGAAACTGATATTTATAAAAAAAATTATTTTAATATTTAAGAAAAAATAAAAATAATTACAAGAAAAAAGCCATATATTTTTCCCCCTTTGATCACTTCACGTGAAATCCCCCATATAAATGAAAGTACTGTTACAGTTTTTGTGAAAAAAATTCTCATATTTAATTTATTGACATGAAATTTTTTTTATTATTTTAACTCAAAAACAGTTTTAGCTGGTGTATATCTTGCCAATAATCAATTATCCATAAAGGAAAAAGCATTTTACCTTCTTGTTTTCAAGAAAAGGCTGTTGAAAATTTTCCAAAATTTTAGTTTCAATGTAGATGGCGCTGCCTCACTTGGACCTGGCCTTAACATCACGAACAAGTGATGAAGACCTAGTAGGTAATAGGTCAGATTATTATGTAATGCATTTTCCAGATCAATTTTTGGGTGCACATATTCATAATATAACTTTGAATCAATATGATAATGAAAATATGACAATATCTCAGCAACAAGACAGAGTAATGAAGGAAATAATGAATTTAAAAAATTCTGGTACCAAATTTTATGTAGACTGTTCAGACACAGATTCAGAGGGGGAGCCACAGGCAGGCACGAATCCAGATTGTTGGTTTGAAGCAAACGATGATTAAGATAGATTTGACAAATTATTTTCATAAATATTTATATGTCAGAAGTAAAATGATGATTTTCAAGCAATCCATTCAAATCAACTGAATATTTTTTATCAAGTTTAATTACTAATGAATTTCATTATTATTTTTTAATACTATTTAACTAAATTTACATTTACAAATTGACGGTCAATATTAACCCATAGTTGAGATTGGGAAAGGTTTTCTGTAGTTTTCCTCTCCCCTGGTCAAAAATCCAGGCAAATGCAATTGCTTTTATTTCAAGTCGGTCTACAGCCGCCGGGAATATTTGGGTTCCTGAGAAAATTAATATTGTAACGATGACATCGCCTAATAATTATATGTTGTTAAATTTAACTTCAATAATTTGTTAAAATTTTTGTGTTTTATTATCTAAGAAATTGTAAATCAATGTAAAGATCTATTAACGTGTATGTATATAAGGAAAGAATAATAAATAAAGTTTGTTTATGTTACCTATATTTAACACTGTTTCTTGACTTTATTTTAAAGAAAAACATTTTTTTCAAGGTACTTTTTAAATATTATCAAAACTGCTGCCATGTTAAAATATAAATTTTTTGTGTTCATTTTTCTTTGCTTCCTCACGGAGATATGAAGTCTATAAAATAGATGCATTATATTAAAATTTGCATGCAAATTTAATAACAAAACAATATACAAAAAGTCACGTATTTCAATATTTTTTACTTTTTTAAAATTTTTTATTTCTGAAACGTTAATAACTTTTGATAGGATAACAGTAGAATATTCGATAATAATGACGAAAAATATTTTTGTTTTAACTTTTAGAAATTATATTACAATGATTTAAAACGTTTTGAAATTTTAGTATATAACGTCGTCACGATTTTTTTGCAAGTGAAGGATTTTCAATAGGAATGTTGGCTCAATAATATTTAATTCTAAAAAATTTAGGACTGCCACAAGTCAGGGAAATTAATTATTGTCAGGGAAATGTCAAAAAATTTAATAAAAAGTGCTGTAAAAATGTTGTAAACCTAGATTTCCATAAAAATATTCATTTGTTATGAATTTATATAACAGATAAACAATTTTACAGAATTATTTGTAGAATTTTTATTTGACCCAAGTTTTATTTGATCGAAATTTCATTTAACACAATTTTTGATAGAATTTATATATTATGATAGAAAAAACGAAAATGTCAGGGAAAAATACAAAAATTTTGTCCGAAAGTCAGAGAAATGTCAGGGAAAATTATTTTCAAATTTTTGTGGCTACCCTGAAATTATTTTATAAACAATTTTCCTTAAAGTCTTTCAAACGAGGGGTTTCTCACTCAATAAAATAACGCGAAATTCTGTTTTACCAAAACTTTTAACGTTTTGGTGCGTTGCGCATGCGCTGTAATGATATTTTTATTTATTTGTACCCATTCCTTTTCATGAAAACTTTGCGCCGTCAAAAAAGATAATAAAGGATTTGAGTAGAATATAATTCTACAGATTTTGTCGGATTTTCTGCATACATTCTAGGAAATATACCTAACCATAAAAAATTCTCAAAAAATTCATTTTTTCCTTAGGCAGACTATTTTATTGCATTTTCTTGCACAAAATACACCTAAAAGAGTAGAAAAAAATTGACAGTCCGATCCGAGTAGAGGAAGACCGTTACTACGACCTTTAAAACAAACCCATAACCATAACGATTATCCCGAACGATTATCTCTGGAATTTAATCTTTCAGAAATATTTCCAAAATTTATTTCAGTGTAGCTCAGCATCCGCTGGATCAATCAAAAAGTGCGCCATACATTTTTTATTCAAAACTGTTGTCTATTTTTTGGTGGTATTCTTAAACAATTATCTCGCAAATTTAAATTTTAGAAAATTTTTCCAAAATGTTTTTGAGTTTAGCTCAGCATCCGCTGGACCCATTAAAAAGTGCGCCATACATTTTTTGTTCAGAACTTTCTTCTAACTACTTTATAGGTATTCTGGAACGATTATCTTGCAAATTTAATTTTTCCAAATTTTTTTCTAGTGTAAGTCAGCATCCGCTGGACCAATCATGAAGTGTGCCATACATTTTTTGTTCGATACCTTTTTTTAAATACTCTGTCGGCATATCCGAACAGTTAT